AGTTTACTTCGTTTTCTTCTAGAGTTTTCAAATATTGTTAATTCACTAATGCAGGATTTTTCCAGTTTCTTTATGTAGGCATTTAGTGCTATGAACTTTCCTCATAACACTGCTTTCATTGTTGTTCCATAAATCTAGGTATGTTGTGTGGTCATTTTTGTTGAATTTTAGGAAATCTTTAATTTCTTCTATTTTTTTCCCTGATGCATTGATGATTCAGCTGAACATTGTTTAATTTCCATGTGTTTTGGGGCTTTCTGGAATTAGTGTTGCTGTTGAATTCTAATTTTAAGCCGTGGTGATGCCTTACACCTGAATCTCATGGAGGCATTTTCTCAATTGAGATTTCCCTTCTTTCAATGTGTCAAGTAGGCATAAGACTAGCTGGTCCAGGAGTTCAAGGGCAATGTGATGACAATTGTGAGACACAGTTTCAGAAAAACTGGAACTTGGAGGTATTTATAGAGTGCTTGGCTTGCGTGCATAAAATCTTGACTTCAATTCCTAGTGCAATAACCCTGTCACCATGACTTTCCTAAAGATTTTTCTCAATGTTAGTAGAATTTAAAATGTTTAGGGTTGGGATGTGTTTTAAAGTTCAGCCCCTATCAATTTTATGCTGGGGCAGAATAGTTTTCTTCCTTTTATATATTGAAGAACACACAACTTATTGTGTGAAAATGTATCCAAGTTAAAATTGAGCATTTAAAATGCATGTTGAAATGTAGATGCAGCGGCATGGGGTATAGTTCATACTGTTGTCCACACATCACCAGTGTTGTGTGCTAACGGTGTTCCATCATTTCGTTCTGAAACTCTGGCCCCATTCAGTGCTAACTTTCTTCTTCCTCCCTCTTCCCATCCCCTGGAAACCCTCATTCTGCTTCTATCTCTATGGCTTTGGGTACTTAGGTACCTCATATAAATGGAGTTACCTGCTTTTTTTTTTTTTGAAAAAAAAATTCTGATATATGTCATTGCTTAATGTCAAAATTCATCCTTATTGTAACATATGACAGAACATCCTTTGAGGGGGCTTGAGCACAGTGGGGATTGACTCTGAGATCTTATGCGTGCTATGAAGGTACCCTACCTCTGAGCTCTATCTGAACTCCACTTCTTTAAAAAGGCTAGATTGCATGTCGTGTGTATGTACACATTTTGCTTACGTATTCACCTGTTCATGGACATCTGGATTGTTTGCATGAGGAATATGTAGTTATTTAGTAGCAAGGTCCAAAATATTATCTATTTCTCAGCCCACCAACTGGAGAACTAGACTCCTAATGGATCGAAAGGTCTGATGTTCAGATTCCACCAGCTGACTTCGGGGAAGTGTTCCGAGCTCCAGTGTCGTCTTCCTGGGTTTTGTCTTGTGTTCTCTTCCACCACTGTCAGCAATCCTGGATCTGTTCTTGGTATACATTCTTCCTACACAGTCTGTGTTATATCTAAGTTGCCTCCGTTGGTACCCCCAACCTCACCTGCAGTCTTTAAATACTTCCTGTTTTTGGTCACTCCACAGGTAGGATGGCTTTCCTTGGGTCCTACCATTACAGACAGTTGCCCACATGATTTTCCACCTGAGCACTCTTAAGTCTTTCCTATGAGACTTGTCAAAACATAGTTTCTTTTAGATGTCATTAGTGCATTTTGACTGTGTGTATATATATGTCTCCAGGCAGGTATAAATTAAGTATGTTTGTTATTACGTTGGGGTAAAATTGTTTAGACTTGCTGTGTGTGCTGTCACTTGAAAGGCAGAGGCAGGTGAATCTCTGTGAGTTTGAGGCCAGCCTGATTTATCTACACAGCAAGGCTGATCACAGTACCCTGTGAGATCTTGTCCCAAAAAAGAAAACAAAAGTTGGACTTTGGAAGTGAGTTGTTATTGGATGGGCTACTTCCTGGTTTTGACAGGAGTGTTTACTTGAACCTGCAGCCTCATGCATGAAGATAAGTTCGTCGCTACTAAACTAGATCCCCAACCCAGTTTTTAAAAACATTAAAATTTCATTCATTATTGCATTTATTCATGTGTGTATCTCTCTGTTTCTCTCTCTCTGTTTCTCTCTCTCTCTGTTTCTCTCTCTCTCTGTTTCTCTCTCTCTCTGTTTCTCTCTCTCTCTGTTTCTCTCTCTCTCTCTCTCTCTCTGTGTGTGTGTGTGTGTGTGTGTGTGTGTGTGTGTGTAACTCCAGGCAACTTGCAAGAGCCAGTTCTCTTCTTCCACTGAGCAAATGTTGCATCTCTCTTTTTACCCATGTGAATTCTAGGGATCAAAATCTGTTCATCCGGCTTGACAACAAGCACCCTTGTCTGCTGAACTATCTTCCAGCCCAGTTTTTGTTTTTTGTTTCCGAGCAAAGGCTGCTAAGTTATTGCTTCAGCCTCCCGAGTAGCTGAAATTACAGGCTTGCTCCTTTAGGACAAGCTGGGAGTACTAGTTATGGATAATTGTCCATTTAGCATAAAACTTCAGTTCTCCTGGGCACTTGGTTGGGATTTTAGTAAAATGCATAGGTGTATTTATTTATTTAGTTATTTAGATTCAGGGTCTCATTTTATAGCTCAGGCTGGCCTAAAACTTGTAGCAATCTGTAGCACGAATAATAAAAACCCCAGAGACAAATTGGGGTTCAATCTAAAAACTAGATAAGCAACGCAGCCAAGCCACCAGAGAAGTCTTACCTCTACCAAGTCCGGGAAAACTAAGCCCCCTAAGCCTCTCTCTGTTCTCCCATTTTATATCCCTCTAGTGCTAGGGTTAATGGTGTATTTAATTCCTGGACTGGAATTAAATTTGTGAGCCACCACCACCTGGATTTTTTTCTTCATTGATTTTATGTAGCTCAGGGTAGCCTTGAACTCACAGAGATCCATCTGATTCTGTCTCCCAAATCCTGGGATTAAAGGTGTTTCACCATTGCCTGACTTCTAGTTGCTTTAGCTTTGCTCTGGTCTTCAGGCATGATTTATTTGTCAAAACACAAATAATGTACCACTCCAGCCATCTCTTGTTTCAGTCTCTTGAGTACTGTTATAAAGTGTGTGCACCACCACAAAATATGAGACAGAAGTGTGATCACGAGCTTGAGACGAGGCTTAGTTGTCCCAAACCAAACAAGTCAGCTAACAGATTGTGCAGTGAGTGCCACCAGTCATATGTTTGGTGGTGTAAAGAACACGGGTTCTTTGCAGCTTCTTGTTTCTTTGAAAGAGTTTTCGGGGAGCAGGGTGTAATAGACAAAGTAGAAATGTATTTGGCTTTGTGGGCCTAAAAACCAGTGGTGCTTCGTGGCACTATCTAAAAGTGTATTTGTGTTCTGGTAAGTTTTATTAATAAGTAACAAGGACAGTAAAGTCCCCTGGCTGGATTTTATTTGGCCAAGGACTTTTGGCTAGCCAACCACTTGTGCAGAAGATCAGGATGTGTATGGCTCTATAGTTAGCTGCTGGCCTTACTGGTGTTTAGTCACTACTAAGTGCTATAAGTTATAGATCAGATAACTGGCTACGGGTTCAGCAATCTCTGTTTTGTTTGTAAGGTAGGAGCTTTAAAAGGTGATGTATTAGTCAAGTTTCATGTATGTGTTTCTTCTTTTCCCTGTGCTGAGGAGGGAACCTTTGCCCATGCTAGGCAAGTGCTCCACTGGTGAGCCCACACCACTTCAGTGGGGGATATTCTTAGCACCGATTAATGAAGCTCTTAATAACCATAGCATGACGTAATCTGATTAGGGCTGTAGTAAAGATATGCAGAATGTTTATGAGAAATGGAATGTTATGTTGAGGAATGGAATGTTACGATTGTTTTAGGAAAGAACTGATAGTTCCTTAAAACTGTTAAATATAGTTACCATAGGACCCATAATTTCTTCTTGTAGGTGCATCCAACAGAAATGAAAATATATCTGTATAAAACCTTGTATATCAATATTTATAGACACATTATTCATAACCACTAAAGTAGAAACAAATGACTATCAGCTGGTAAATCTATGAAGAAAGTGTGATTTGTTCATGCCATGGATTTTATTTAGCCATCATGTTTAATGGAGTAATGACATGCTATAACACAGATGCATACTGAAAGTCTTATGCAAAATTACAGAAACTAAACGTTAAAAGGTCGTATACATTGTATGACTCCATTTATGTGAACTTCTCAAAGCAGGGAAATCTGTAGACCTAGAGTTTGGATGTGGTGGTGGCCGTGCAGGCCTGAAATCCCAGCCCCTTTGGAATAAGACACAAAGGGATCCTAAATTCAAGGCTGGTCTATAAAAGTCAATCCAAGACTACCCCAGGCTACATCAGGAGATCCTTTCTCAGTAAATGAATGAGTGATGAATGGATGGTACTGAGGACATAGCTCAGTGGGGCTCGGTTCATTCTCTCGTGCTGAAAGAAAGAAAGGAAGAAAGGAAAGAAGGCGATTAGGATATTGGGGCCATTCTGCTTAATGAGCAGGTGTTTCTCTTGGTCAAGAAAACGTTCTGAAATTGATGGACAGTGTGCAACTCTGAATGAACCAAACACTGCATGAATGAATGTGTGGCTTTTGTGACAAGTGCATGTGTGAAATCTGAATTGCATTTCAAAAATATTACTAATACGAAGTGTAGGATTAATGTATCAGAAATAATTAGCAAAGAGTAAGAATGATCCAAAATATTGTTCCCATAAGGGAATTCCACAGTATGAATCTGATTTTGGTTCCTTTGTGTTTGGTTTTCTGGGTTTCTGAGTCTTTCCATTCCCTCTTCGGTGTCCTGGGGGACTGACCAGGATGAGGGATGCTGAATAAGAAGCCTTGTTTTATCGGTCCTTCAGTGGAAATGAAGTCAGCTTCTAGGGCCTGTTTGCTCCAGGCTTCCTGGGTCCTTTTACTTCTAAGTAATCCTAAAACTGACTTGCTTGAACCCTGTATATGTTATATTCCCAGCCGCCTTGGAGGAACTTGCCTAGGGATGTTCACGGACCCCTTTCTGTGTTACAGATTGAAGAAGGGAGCAAAGCTGCAGCCGCAGACAAGCTACTAGCTGGAGATGAGATCGTGGCTATCAATGACGTGAATCTCTCAGGGTTCAGACAAGAAGCCATCTGCCTGGTAAAAGGCTCCCATAAGACCCTGAAGCTTGTGGTCAAAAGGTGAGACGTGTGCCTTTTTTTTTTTTGCTCCCCAAACAAGGAGTACAATGCTAAAATGCCAAGCCTGGATGCCTTTTCTCATATGTGAAGAGATCTCAACATGCATGTGAACTTAAAATTAGAGTTATTCCGCACTAGCTTCTGGAGACTGTTCCTGGATCCCCATTTTGGACACCAAAATCTGCACGTGGCCGTTATAGAAAATGCTGTTATATTTGTATATAATCTAGGCACACACTTTAAATACTGTCTAAGTGGCCTAAACTTTTAAGTTGCCATGAAAAAAATTTCTGACAGTAGCAGCCTAAAGGAGGAAAGATTTCTTTTTGGCTCATGGTCTCAAGAGATTTGTGCACATCCCTTTAGAGAATTAAGGGGCTTTATAGTGTTAGAAGTGTTTTGCAGATTCTCCCTTCACATTTTTGCTGACCAAGAAGCAGAAAGAGATGAAGCAGAACTAATGCTGAGCTACAACTGTCAAAGGTTTGTTGTCCTCAGCACTTTCTAATAGCCAGACCCCGCCTCCCAAAGGCGCCACCGTCTTCAAAACATAGGCCTATAGGGGACAGTCTGCTCCCAATGAGGGAACATGATGCTTATTCATAGAAGGTGATGGGCTGCTTGTTTTCATGCTTATGCATGAAAGACAGAGACAGATGCAGATAACAGATACGTGGGGGAGCAAAAGGCCTGTTTCTATAAATGAAATTAAGGGGCCAGGTGGTGGTGGCACACACCTTTAATCCCAGCACTCTGGATACAGAGACAGCCGGATCTCTGTGAGTTTGAGGCCAGCCTGGTCTACAAGAGCTAGTTCCAGGACAGGCTTCAAAGCTACAGAGAAACCCTGTCTCAAAAAAAAAATTAGATTAAGGGTAGGAGGTTAGATAATTTAAAGAAAATTAGGACGATGATGCATTTATGTATAGGATAAAAACAGTACTCCCTGGCTGGAGAGACGGCTCTGTGGTTAAAAGCACTGGCTGCCCTTTCGGAGGTCCCGAGTTCAATTCCCATCGGGCGCCATTTTCTGGCCTGCAGGCAGACATGCAGACATAATGCTGTGTGCATCATAAATAAATAATAAAGCAAACAGTACTCCCAGGTATCACGAGAAAGATTGTTTTCAGAGATACAGATACGCACCTCTGAGCCTGGCTACATGTCTTTTTTTGATAGAATCAGTGAAGTCATTGATTTAATTAAAGAGTCAAGCTGGGTGTGGTTGTGCATGCTTTCAGTCCCAGTATATAAGAAGCAAGAGTAGATGCATTGCTGTGAGTTCAAGGCTGATAAGGCCTTGAACATATAATTATGTATAATTAGGGCCTAAAAAAAGAAACAAGGAAATAAAACTGTTCTTTGTTTATTATTTATCAACTCTCATTTCTACATGAGATAACGCTTTTGAATACCTTTTGTTTATGTTGCGATTGTGCTCGGGCTCAAACCCAGACCCTGCTCTGTGCTAAGCTAGTTCTCTACCACTGAATCGCCACACTTCCGGTCCTAAACACCTTTTTAAAGTCCTTATAGCTCTTAAGATGCGATCTCACAGTGAGACCTAAATACCTTTTTAGTTAGTCCTTATGGCTCAGAAGATACGATCTCAGAATGAGAGTTTATGATCTGTCTGAGGAAGTTGGAATGAGGTATCATCAATGTATAATTCCTTGATTGCCTCATGACCCCTCAGAAGGAAGCTTTCTTTTATGATTGCTTTTACTGTGATAAAACACCATGGCCAAAGCAACTTGGGGAGGCTGTTTATTCACTTTATACTTCCATATCACTGTTCATTGTTTGAAGGATGTCAGGACAGGATTTCAAACGGTGCAGGAACTGATGCAGAGGCCTTGGAGAGATGTGCTTACTGGCTTGTTCAGTCTGCTTTCATACAGCACCTAGGATCGCTAGTCCAGAGATGAAACCACCCACAGTGGGCTGGCCCCTCCCCCATCAGTCACTAATTAAGAAAATGCCTTACAGTCAGGATTTATGGAGCTATTTTCTCAGTTGAGGTACCCCTCTTCAGATAACTCTAGTTTGTCTCAAGTTGACATATAACTAGCCAGTACAGAAGTCCTTTGTTCTCATAAGACGCTGTTATTCTTAGTCAAGTGATGGTCATGAGGATGTGGATTCTAAAGGTCAGACTAGGAGCCATGCATGGCCCCTGAGAGTTGCCACTGCCTTCTAAACCCGTGGTTCCAAGGGGGCTAGAATCACTCTTTGACCGATCTGACCTTTGAATAAGGAAGATACAAATCTCAAATCCCTGCGACAACTCTGACCAACTGATTCCTGAGCAGACGTTTTGTTATTGTTTATTTTTCCTTGAGACATTTTCTCTCTCTGTTGCCCTGGCTGGCCTTGGATTTCTGGTATAGACCTGGATGACCTAGAATTCAAAGAGATCCACCTACCCCTGCCTCAGTGCGCTGGGATTAAAGGAATGTGTGCACCACCACACCAAGCCTGACTTTGAGTCAGAAGATATGTATAGAAATGTGGAACAGATTTCTCGGTCCACTTATTTTTGGTGTCAAATCTAGTGTAGATGTCTTTCTGTTTGTTTGTTTTTTTGTTGTGTGTGTGTGTGTTTCTGTCCTTGGGTTTGGTGGGATAAGAATAGTTTTATTGTTTGCTTTGTGTTTCTGTAGTTATGAGGTAAAGTGGACATTACTACATATATTTCTTAGTGTGCTTGATATAATTTGTTTTTTAAACTTAGATTCACATATCTAAGGATATCAATACAAGGAATAAAACTTGTTTAAAATACATCATTGCCACATAGGAAGCAAAGAGAGGAGGAGACCGTAGAGCATACTGGCTGGTAAAAGATATATAAAAGATTAGAGTAAGGGGAATTAATCTTTTGTCATGAAGGCACTGATGTAAGCCATTATGGAGAACTCCTCCTGTTTTGTATTTTTGCGGTTTCCTTTAAATGAGGAGTGTAGACAATTCCCTGCTTTAGATAAAATTGAATCATTTAAGTAGCAAGATTTTAAAGCAAACAGGTTATCCAGGAATTTATTATTCCAAGGTAATTTTGTGGGATTTTTGAGATTTGTTTTGTTTGTTTCTCTGTGTAACCGACTTGGTTGACCTAGAACTCACAGAGATCCATCACCCTTCTCTGCCTCCTGAGCGCTGTAGGTGTTCACCATCACTACTTGGCACACTACCTGGCTTAAAGCATCCTTTTAATAATATAGTGTTTTAATTTTGGGGAAATAATTTTATATAAATTGTAAGTACTAGAGATATTGTTCAGGTTGGACATGATGCTATTTAAAGATGTGAAGGAAGTTTCCCAAGGTGGTAAGTTAGTTAATATTAGAATTTATGCCTGTTTCTCAGAGTGGGGTGAATAATTACTGTTAATCTTAAAGATGTACTTAGTAAAGCCTTTTAATACTCCAGAGTAACAAGTCTTTATTACAAATGTACCAGTTGTTCTTAAAACTCTAGTATATATTCTTCTCAAAGTTTGAATTTCCTCACTCACTTTTTTCTCCATGCTCCAGCAACCACTTACTCTGCTTTCTGTCACCGTGGATTAGTTAGCATTTACTCATATTTTATATTAAGCTCCAAGATGGAGGAGCATGCCTTCTCACAAAAACTTCAAGTCCTGGGGTTCAGCTCCGTGGTAAAGCATGTGCTTGGCACCAAAGGCCCCGATTTGATTCTGAGAACCCAAGGAAGAGTCTAGCTCACAAAAAGTCACTCTGAAAGTGACTCATAGCCTAAGCTGCGAACACATAAATTGATGTTGCCCTGCTTAAGATGTTGATCAAGTAATAGACTATGTTGATCCATCCTTTGCCTTACTGCACCTGACTACCTCATACTGCGACTGTTAACATTTGAATAGTAGTCCTTGCATAGACTCCTCTTGTCTTAATGACAGCTGGTGCCTGCTTTTATTTCCTGTGCTCCTTTTATCTTAGTGTGTGGGACCAACCAACTGGGGTGAGATTTCAATAGGCCAGTTTCACAAAGCAGTGGAGTCTCCTTTCACAAGGATCCAGTAATCCTGTCCTGATTGAGAGGCGGTGTCTGGACAGTGATGCCTGAAGGGACACGGAGCTATGCTATCTGATCATCTTCAGCAGTAGCACATTGTCCTTCAATGATGTCCAGGTGGCTTTCGAGCTCATGAGCAGTAGATTGGAGACCATAGGAGCCAGATCTGTGGGGCTGTGACAGGTTGGGTCCAGTATGCCTTTGTTCTTTCATTTCCAAGGTGTTTGGTGTTTCAGTGTGTCCCTTTGCAATGTTATGTAGTCTTTTAATATGTATTTAATTGTCTCTATATAGTTGTCACCTGCTCTGTTTTCTCCATGTACACTGGCATGATTCTGAGCTCTAGGATTTTTCACAGAAGGCTACCGACTGTTTTGTCCAGCGGCTGTATTGATTTGGCCACTCACTTGAAGGAAAAGGCTTAGAGATGCAGAGGCACAAAGATCTAGAGAGTTCAGGCTGTGCAGTAGAGTGAGAGTGATTTCAGCCTGGGTAGTTTATTGACCCACTGTCTCAAAATAATAAACACAAAGAAGGACTAAGTAGACAGCGCTCAGTAGGTAGCGCTTGTCTAGCCTATGTGAAGTCCTGGGTTCAGTCTCCAGTAATGCAGAAACAAATCAGAATAGACCTGTGAACCCTAGGGAAGATTTATTTTCAATATTACACCTTGAATATATTTTCAGTCTCTTCCCAAATTTATGTTATAGTATTGATTTTTTTTACAGTGAAATATGCTTGGCAGTTTATCCTTAATCTCATTCTGGCAGTTTCTGGTGATATTCTCCTAGACTGCAAGCCGTTTTGTTGGGAACAAACCAGGATGGGGTTGACTCATATTTTTGTCTCTTTGCTGGTCATCACAAACCGTTTTGTGAATCTAATGATATCTGCTAAGCTGACATTCAGGAACAGATTAACACCCTCTTTTGCTGGATGCTGCAACGGTTAGGCAGCCTGTA